CAAAGTAAAGAATAGGCTTGAGTTTTTTGATTTCTACATTTATAGTATTATTACTTTTGATCAGAAACCAACTGGCTGTATTACGCTGTCGCTTAAAATTACAGCTATACAAGACTGCCATGACATCAGCATTTTAGCTGCAGTTGACAGTTAAGTAATAGATATGATTCTAAAAACTTATCGGGCTTGAATATGCATGCACGTTGTTGATAAGCACAGGCCGGAACTGGTCGTGTCCTGCGTAAAGTCAAACCGTGCAAAAAACAAAAACTTAAGAGAAGTTCTGGATATTTTCATCTTCAGTGCAACATAGGTTATGTCACTTTATCTGTTCCGTGCGTCCATGTCGTCTGCTGGTAGAATCATTTCGCTTCCGTACAGTTTAATTACACATTTACTAATCTTTTTATTTGTGCAGTGAAGGTTTAGGAGTGTCTTTGACTCACCTTTTTTTAAAAACTTTCTCAAGTATACAATAAAAAATATGGGGATTCCTTTCCAATAAACCATTCCTTTAGCAAGACAGATGAACGAAAATGAAGTGTTATTTCAAGTCTGTAATATACACTGATGTATTCTAAAAAAACCTCAATCTAAACGTATTTTCTGTATCCTCTAAATTTTAGGAATTATGGTGTTGACATGTAGACGTGAGGTCGAGGGTCGACATTGCTTAACTTTTCAAAAGATGAAGAAACACGTTCGTCCATCTTTAAAAATGATTGAAAAGGGGAAATCCAAAAAGACGTGTAAGAGTGGTTTTGTTTTTACGCTTTGGAAACCTTTACAGTCTATTCGCCTTACAAATTACCGTTTAGCTCATGAGTCCGACATTATGCAAGGTCAATACTACGCAACAGGAAACCTCGCGAAAACCTACCAGTATGAAGACAGAGGATTTGAGAAAAACCATGCTTTAGCTCGGTTTTTCAGGACGACGTACTCTGATGCTTTATTAAACCCAGTTGTTCATTTAATTATAATTACTGCATTTTTAAGTTACTTGGTAAGAGTTTAAAATTCAAAACCCTCTGTGTTAATTTTTAATTATTCTCAACCATCTCTACAACTGTAGCATTTGAGGGGCTAGCAGCCTGGGGCTGTGCTAATGTCAAGCTTGGTCTTGAACCGAACGACCTTTTACCAGAAAATTCTTATGGGAAAAGAACTTTAGCGGTTGCTGAGAAGTATTTCTCAGGTACCATCTCCATAATTATGCTTAGTTTTTTTGCAGTAATTAAATTTCTAAATTTTGAAAGCTTTTATCATACATAATGCAGCTTTTCTAAAAAAAATAGCTAGCATTTCTGCAATTAAATGTGAATACAAAAAAAAAATTTTTTTGCCGTCAGCCCACCTTCATTGTTAACGTTTGTAGTTCTTGACGTGGCTTAATTCACTACGATAGTTCTAGATTTGCATATATACTTCTTATTAACTTTCTGACAGTCTAGTGGCGTGATTTCGCTTTTAAATTTCGTTGAGTTTCACAAGTCAGCTTCTCCATTGACGCATAATTCAACGGACAATTATTAGGCTATGAAACTGTATGGCACTGCATTAGTCTATTTTGGGAGCTACTCCTTGCTTTCCTGAGTGTGTATGCTTCTGTTGTTGTAAAAACAGTGGGCGGAATTGTCCAAGAGTGATCTTTGAGTATATATTCAAAGCAGTTTTTAATGCCGGTTGCTTCAGTTAAGCGGACGAAAAGAAAAAAAGGAGTACGAATTATAAACGGAACAGCTGAGGGATTTTTTGGCACACATTTGTGAGTATGTGCTTTGAAGTCCCCTTCGCTAAAACTTCTTAGATCACCTCATACAGTAATTAGTGTGCTCTCTGTGCACAGCTAAAAAGCCACAATTAGGAAGCTACTCTTTAATAAATATGAATATAAAAAATTTAAAACTGTAAGCGGGGACTTTGCGTGAAAGGTGGATTTGAAGCTCTTTAGAATTTCGCTTACAAGAGTTAGCCACTACCTGTTAAGTTCCACACCACTAGCAGGGTGCTCCAAGGAAAGGCGCAAAAATTAAAACAAAACTTCCGCGCTAGACAGTAAGAAGATTAGCAAGAAATGAATAGACAAGTTTGAAACTATTATGGATGAATCAGTCAAAGCTCAGAAACCCGCACAAAAAGAGGAAGAAAGAATTATAATGAAATAACAGATTTGGGGTTAAATACGTTTGTCTGTAATAGTCCCAATTAACTTACTACTCATAAATAAATTTATTAACGCTGACTAGGTGAACTAGGTTTAGATTTTTATGATTAACAAAATAAGTGCTTTTTAGATTACGGCAGTTACCTTCATGTGTGGATGTACAACTTATCAAAAGTTGACTTGGGACATCGACGATTATGGGTGGTTCTCGAGAAAGAAATTGAACTCTATGAGCATACTGAATTCACAAGTTCCAGCGATTCCTGGTCAAAAATTACCGTTCTTTAAACTGTTTTGTAGACTGCAGGCAACCTAAGATTTTCCACCAGTTCCCTATGCTAGTGAAAACACCTTTAATTTAGGCTACGGACTTTCTTAAATTTTGTTCAACAAGCCGGTTTGCTGATAACACCGGAAAATTTTGTTTATATACTTAAGAATGTATTCCTGTCGCAGCCTCGGTATGCCAAATTTAATAGGTAATTTTCCCTCATCATTATAACGTCAATTGAAAATCTAAAGTATTATTTAGTCCTTGCAAGAAGATGGTAACTTTTTTACTTTATATTCAATAATGTTCTTTTTACCTCCAGAGATATAGTTTTTGACGACACCGGTAACGCATTGGAGGCTTCTCGAATACCAGTCCAGCTTCGTTTTGTCGGGGCGTGTAACCAGTCACGCGCGATGCATCTGTTCCGACGTTTGGCTGAAACAAGTGAATTGAATACGGGTGTTTATGCCGATTTCTTTCAGGTTTGAGACTTTTTCAATATTTTTCCACCTAGCACCCGCTTTGTGTTTATTTCTACACCATTATTTGGTAATTGTTATTTCAGTTCGCCGAACAGTACAACGCAGTTCTGCCAGGGACACTGAGTTCCATAGCGATCGCTGGAGTGGCGGTTGTCTGCGTTTCTTTATTGCTGATACCAGAACCTATTGCATCTCTTTGGGTTACTCTGAGTATTGTTAGCATCAACGTCGGCATCTTAGGTTTCATGACATTTTGGAGTGTTCGCTTAGATTTCATCTCAATGGTCACCATAGTTATGTCGATCGGCTTTTGCGTTGATTTTGCGTCGCATTTGGCATATAATTTTGCCAAAGTAAGTGTGGCTGAATAGTTCAGGATTTCAGAATTGTGTTGTTTACCTTATTTTGATTTATTTTAACTCATCTTCCGCAAAAAAAGTTATTTTGACAATTTTTTTTTTGCAGGGATCAAATATACCGGCATCTGAAAGGATGCGTAATGCTTTGTATGCTGTTGGAACACCAATACTTCAAAGTGCGTCTAGCACAATATTAGGTCAGTTGACATCTTTAAAATTAATAAATGGAAAACTGAGATTATTAAGACAAATTTCCACATGTGTCTCTGCAATTCTAGTTTGAAGAGCTGGGAAGTTTGAGTTGAAATTGTTTATTACATTTGTGGAAGGTCTGCAAAAGTCTAGACATTTTACATACACTAAAACACGTGTAGTTGGTGAAACATTGTGTGGTCGATAGTTATTTTCTTACTTCTTACAGACCTTAAAGTTCAGTTCTATCAAAATTAGCCTTATTTTTTTCTCAACAAACGTATTCATCACTTCTTTGACGGTTGACTACTTCTATAACAAATTTACGTGCAAAAACAGACAGGTGAAAGACAGGCAAAAGTCATCTGATACTCAAATTTATATCATTATTTAATCCGGAAAGCTTTACATGAAGATCTTTCCGTTATTTTTTACACAGGAAAACAATGTTTTTGTACATAGCCGAAAGTCTTTTGATTGTACCGTTGAGCCTTTGGACCAAGGAAAAGACGATTAAGAAACGATGGCTGTAGAATAAGTTTTAGTCAGTTGCTTCAAACTGTTATTAGGGGAATCGCACTGCTAGGTCATACAGCCAGAAAAGATTAATTTTAACAGCGGAACTTTAGAAATAAAGAGGATCAGGTTTTTTGGCGAGTACAGCTAACTAACAGGACTTGATTTAAATCTTAATACGATAATGAAGGGAAAATATAAACAAATATCAGCATATTGTAGACTGAATAAGCCAAATGCAGCAACAAGAAATTTTATTTTTGTACAAGACTTTTATAAATAAAATTATATATCTTCTTAACACTGAGAAAAACAGTATTAAACGCGACCGTTTCAACATTTTTTACCTGCTGAAAGTCTAATGATAACAACAAACTGTATGACTGAGGTACTGGAAGTTTTGCTTCAAATATTCACTAACCGACTGATTTGTTGAAGGAGTTTCGTTTATGGCTTCTGCGGAGAGCTATATTTTTCGGTCTTTTTTAAAAACGATTATCTTGGTAATCACGCTTGGGGCTCTTCATGGTCTGGTTATCCTCCCTGTTTTGCTTACATTATTTTATTGCGACAGCAAGAATAACAACGATGAGTAAGGTTTTACTAGTTAGTATTGTTTTCTTTGAAGGCCAGCTGTATTGATACAGCGGCAAAATTTCTAGAATACTGTGCATAGTATGATGAAGTTTCAGTGACGAGAAGATGGAAAAAATAGGTTCAACCATGGAAACCAGGTACGCTGTAGGACCACAGGAATACATGCAAAATCTGCAGAACATGGAACGGCTTGGCGAATACTGTACGCCTTTTGGACATACGTATCAATCTACTTCTAGTGACCGTTATCCCGGAAAGTTAGATCAGAATCGTGAGTATCAGAACCCATGCAGACTGTACACGGTTTGTGCTTTCGCTCTTTCGTTCCGCATTGTTTCTTAACATCTTCTTTTAGGCATCTCATATTTCAAAAGTAGAGGTTTTTAAAGTGATTGTATTTACTAAAGTAAATCAAGTTCCATTTTTATTTTAAAATTTTTATTCTTGTCATAGATAGATAATTCTAACACCCAGAAGTTTTGACAGTAGCTGGGAAAATTTTACTAGTGCAACTCTGTTGATTGAAAAATGTTGCTGCGAAAACTCTATCTTGGATTTTAGGCGAGTGGTCCTAGTCCCGAAAAATTTGTTCCGAAAGAGGCAGTAGTTGTTTCCGAATACAGTAACCCAGCCATTTTCAGCCCTATCTCTAGCGCTGAAGTGGCATACGGCATAACTCCTGGTAACTTCCTTTCAAATAGACCATATTAAGAAATCGGCATTGTTATAGCGACACAGCCCGTGCATCTGTATACTTTTAGGATTCCTTCCAATACCGCGCATAGTGCCTAACGATTACATGGAAAATTCCCCAGAATACATATATCGTGATCCTTGCGGGCATTTGCAACGGTAATTTCTTCGCAATGAGTTACGGTAATTCTGTAATTTAATTTTTTAACTTCTTCTTAATGTACTATGAACAATGCTTGCTCAAACGGGAATATCTGTAATGGTGCGTTATATTGCATTAGTTTGTTGACCGGTAAATTCATCTTTGGTTTGTACTAAATTTCTCTTCAATCGTACACAAATTTATCACTGAATAATCTGTAGAAAATGCCTACAAACTCATCACTGATCCGCTGACTTTGATGAGATGAGTTTTAAATTTTATTTAGCTTTAGTCCCTTGACTTCATGGATATTGACTAACTGAATGAGGTGAGCGTTACAGTAACGCTCGATATAATACTGGTTGTTAGTTG